TTTACCAAAGAAATGACATTTTTGGCTGACTTTATCAAATGTGGAGTATATGCCAGCATTAGAGCATTAACCTACTTGTAGCCTCAAATTATGTATTCTGAGTACAACTAAACAATTTTGGTTTACAAATTGTACTCACAATTTGTGATCTAAGAGACAATGTATAATGCAAGGGCTAGGCAGGACATCAGGAAACCCAGTGGCAGAGAATCCATGGTCTGGAGACTGATGAGGAATCACCACGTGGAGTGCTGACATTGGCAGACTAGTCTGTGGCATACAACAGGGTCTTGGTAACCTGCAGACCATAGAACCTACAGAGAATAAACGCCCAAGTCTGACCAGTCAATGCCCAAATCTCCCCTCACCCAAGGTGTGGGGGAGATAGGGACTCATAGCCTGCTTTGCCAGGATTGACCACCCCCATATCTGAGGGCTACAGTGACAGCTTGAAAACTTGGAACTCTTGACGCAAAATTTCTCTTAAGCCTGCCTACTCTCCCATCTGGAGAGTGTACTTTTGCTTTGCTTTCACTTTGTTTTGCATTAATAAACCTGCTCCTCTATGTCTGTCCTTAAATTCATTCACTCATGAGACTCAGAACTTTCTGGCCCTCTGGACTTGATGACCTAAATACAGCAACGTATTTTGACAAGCCAAGCCACGAGACTCAAGAAAAATCCCTATTCAGGAGCACAACCCCTATTAGAGGAGTGGTCTTTCTGTAACCATATTAAGGAATTGCTTTTGCTATGGGCATCAATTCTTTACTTGGGCCTACGAATTAGATAAAAGTGAGATAAATTCTGGGCATCTCAATCAGCCTCTTTTGTTTTAATGCCCTTGGCCCTCAGTCATTCTCTCTAGCAGACAGTTTGCAGCCATCATAGACCCCAAGCATCCATGACTCACTGAAACAAGATCTCAGCTGACCACTCTCAAGTCAGTGAGGGGCAGGGCTGTCTATAACTGTGGAGCACACTAACTGAGGCTGTTCATGCATACCTCATGCCTCTTACCCCAACTCTTCCTGCAATGGAAACCTGAGAAAAATGTCTATCCCAAGTACATGAAGTGTTTTCTTTTTTTTTTTTTTTGGGGGGGGGGGGTCCAATCGTGGGCCTGAACTCTGGGCCTGGGCACTGTCCCTCAGCTCTTCAGCGCAAGGCTTTTTTTCTTTTTGCTTATGTGGTGCTGAGAAATCGAACCCAGGGCCTCAAGCATGCAAGGCAAGCGCTCTACCACTGAGCCACCTTCCCAGCCCCATGAAGTGTTTTCTTATAACTACCCACATCAAGGAATAAACTTCCTTTCTCTGACTTTCAACATTATTGATCTTGGGCTGGGAAGGTGGCTCAGTGGTAGAGCGTTTGCCCTGCATGCATGAGGCCCTGGGTTCGATCCTCAGCAACACATAAGCAGAAACAAAAAGCCGGAAGTGGCACTGTGGCTCAAGTGGTAGAGCGCTAGCCTTGAGCTGAAGAGCTGAGGGACAGTGCCCAGGGCAGGAGTTCAGGCCCACGACTAGAACCAAAACAAACAAAAAAAAATTATTGGTCTTTTATTTGGTGTTGGGGCAAGCCCAGAAGTTCAAACCTTGGGCCTAAAATTTCCTGAAATATCTGTTGTATCTCTTTCATTCTGGATTACTTTACAAAACTTGCACAAGAGTGAAGGCTTCTTTCCACCTCTCTCTCTCTTGTGTCTCCAGTTATAAATCAATATGCTGTTTGTACCTAATCTGTAATTACATGGTTACTGTCTCTTCTCTCTTTTGGTTACTGTCTTTTCTCTCCTTCCCTCCTTACTCCTGCTTTTACTGAGATAGTTTGCTGCTCAAGGTCCTTTGGAAATTTCCTAATCTTAGTCACTCTGTAACACTTTGTAATTCTTAGACTCAGGAAAGACCAAAGGATGGGGCAGGAGTGTAAAGGCAATTTGAAAAATGCAAGTGTCAGCAAAAGTTTGTATAAAATCTGTAGCTGTAGGTAGACAGGCAAAGGGGAAACAGGAAATAAGAGACAAACAGATGAAAAGAAGCATAAACTAGAAAAGATAAAAAAGGAGTTTTTATGTAAATAAGCTTTTGTTCCAGAATGGAAACAGGCAGGTAAGAACAAACAAGAAACTAAAAGCATGCTCCACAGCTCCACTTAGGTCTTTTTGCTAGGTAACTGGAGATAATAGTCTCATGGAATTTCCTGCCTGGGATAGTTTTGAACTAAAATCCTTAGGTAATCCCTTAGTAGCTAAGATTAGAAGGGCACGCCCCTGGTGCCCACAATAATACTGTTAAAAATATTTTGGGGGCCAGTGGCCCACGCCTGTAATCCTAGCTACTCAGGAGGCTGAGATCTGAGGATCACAGTTCAAAGCCAGCCTGGGCAGAAAAGTCCATTGAGACTCTGATCTCCAATAAAAACCACTAGAAAACTGGAAGTGGCGTTGTGGCTCAAGAGGTAGAGCACTCGCCTTGAGCTAAGAGCGCAGGGACAGCGCCCAGGCCCAGAGTTCAAGCCTCACGAATGACCAAAAAAATATATCTATATATATCTATATATACATATATATACATCTATATATAAGTGCAAGTTTTCGGAATCTTTTTTTTTGGGGGGGGGGTCCAGTCATGGGGCCTGAACTCTGGGCCTGGGTGCTGTCCCTGAGCTCTTCAGCTCAAGGCTAGCACTCTACCACATGAGCCACAGCGCCACTTTGGCTTTTTTCTTTTTGCTTATGTGGTGCTGAGGAATCGAACCCAGGGCCTCATGCATGCAAGGCAAGCACTCTACCAGTGAGCCACCTTCCCAGCCCCAGTTTTCTGAATTCTTATGTAGCTGGATGTAAGAATCCAGATAGCTTTTTTGGTCTTCAATAACAATATATCATTCAGTCTCTATGGTATATTATCTCTGCATAAAAAAGGCAAAACAGTGTACTTGAATACAAGAAGAATACAGGATTTCTGGTAAAATTTATAAACTACTTATTGCTTGGGGGAAGGAGAACTTCACTATGTGGTTTAAGAGAAGGCTTGCTACCAAACTCAGCTGTTAAACATAACAAATTGCACTGGAACATGAGGGAAAGTGAGAGAATATTGGTGGTTAAGGTAGAAGGATAAACGTGGCGCTGAATTGTAATAATGTTCCTAATACTTGAATGTGAAGCAAAAGTAATATAAGGAGGTCTCTGATTGTAATTGAAATTGAAATAAATATCAAAACAATACATGCTAGGTGTCAGAGGCTTGTGTCAGTGATTATAACTACTCAAGAGGCTGAGGGTGGAGGATGAAAGTACAAAGTCAGCCCAGGAAGAAAAGTCTATGATGCCAGGTGCTTGTGGTTTATACCTATAAACCTAGCTACTCAGGAGGCTGGTTCAAAACCATCCTGGACAGGAAAGTCCATTTAGCTACCAGAAAACCAGAAGTCGAGTTGTGAAACAAAGTGGTAGAATACTAGCCTTGTGGAAAAAAAACTCAGGAACAGCACCCAAACCCTGAGCTCAAATCCCATAAATAATAATAACAACAAAAAGAAAGAAAGAAAAGAGAAGGAAGAAAGAAAGAAAGAAAAATAGAAAGAAAGAAAGAAGAAAGAGTGAAAAGTCCATGACCCGATCTCCAAAAATAACCAAGTAAAAGCTGGACTGAGGGTGTGGCTCAAGTGGTGTAGCCCCAACCATGAACAAGCAATATGAGTGAGGATAAAGCCCTGAGCACAAACCCTGGAATCAGGAAAAGAAAAAAAAAGAATCTGATCACAGTTGAATAGTGATTGCCTAGAAAACGGGAAGGGGGAAGAGAGAGAGGAAGCAAATTACACCATAAAACTGTGCCAATTTACTTTAATATGGGATCACACCAATGACTGTAAAATGTAACAATATATTAATTATCAAGAAAGACTGATACATTATCAATAAGAAAAGGTCAATGACATATATTAAAAAGTAATATCTAAATTACTGATATCAGTTCCATGATTATATCCCCAAAATTATATATAGCTTCAAAGAGTTAACTTATATTTATTATGTTTGCAGCTATCTACAATTTAGAAAGCTTAGTAACAAAAAGACTGTAGGAAGCTATCTGGTTTGAACAGGACTACATTGCATTATGTAGCTAGCTAACTAGGAATGAAGAGTTAAGTTGTGTTTTTGTGTGTATGCTAACTGTGTGTGTGTGTGTGTGTGTGTGTGTGTGTGTGTGTGTGTGTGTGTGTATGTGTGTGTGTGTGTGTATGTAGTGCTATCCTGGGTGGTGTGTGTGTGTGTGTGTGTGTGTAGTGCTATCCTGGGTTGTGTGTGTGTGTGTGTGTGTTTGTGTATGTGTAGTGCTATCCTGGGGTTTGAGTTCCAGTCCCAGAAGCTGAGCTTTTTTTGCTCTGCCACTTGAGCCACAGCTTCACTTCTAGCATTTTGGTGGAGATGAGAGTCTCATGGACTTTTATGCCTGGGCTGACTTCAAGCCCTGATCCTCAGATCACAGCCTCCAGAGTAGCTAGGATTATAGGCATAAGCCACCAACACCCAGCCATATTTCAAATTCCATTTTATGGACTTTTTCTCCAAATTATGTTTCCCTCCAAATGTTCACAAACAAGTTCTTGGCAGAGATCCAAGCACAAGGTCTTTTGAGACACAGCCATTCATTATTTGGCAGACATTTAGCTAAGATCAAGTGGAAACATATCATTAAAAACAATGAAAACACTCAAAGTGCACACTGGGTGTGGGAGGACATTTAGTGTTTTTACAGCTTAAATCCACCAACTGTATCTCTTAGCTACAGAACATCTTACAAAGATACTATATTTGATACTGATATATAAAACTGAAAATAAAAATTAGCAACAATAACCAAACATTTAATTTCTAAGAATCTTTCTAAAATCATAGTAAATTAAATTTAAAAATCTTAAGAGGTTTGTTGACATATCTGGAAGAATAGATTGGGAAGGGATATTTTTCTTTTATATTTTGTTGTTACCTCATTTTCTTCTTCATCAATGACTGAGACATAGTTGGGATGAGTCTTGTTTGGGTAGGACAACAGGACATCATAATGAGCTAACTCCACAGAATCCAAGCCAAAGTCTTTCCACTGGGACTGAATTTGCTTTGCAAGCTCAAAGTTTTGTTCTGTCCCTGCTAAATGTGGTATCCGTGTAAAATTACTGTTGGACAAAAATTGAAAGTAGTTAATAATTAAGGTATAGACAGCAACAAAATCAGCAACAAAACAAAACTTCCCCTTTCATTTTGCCTTTCATGCATGCTAATAGTAGGATAAGAGCTAGAGGGAGAGAAGGGATTTTCTGAAAAGTAAAAAAATACAAGCTTCAAGCTGGGGGGCTAATGGCTCATGCCTGCAATCCTGTCTACTCAGGAGGCTGAGATCTGAGGATCATGGTTCAAAGCCAGCCCACACAGGAAAGCCCCTGAGACTCTTACCTCCAATTAATCACCAGAAAAGACTGAAGTGGAGCTGTGGCTCAAGTGGTAGAGCACTAGCCTCCAGCAAAACAAACAAACAAACAAACAAAAAAAACTCAGGGACAGTACCCAGGCCCTGAGTTCAAGCTCCATGACTAGCAAAAAAAAAGAAAGAAAGAAAAGAAATACAAGCTTCAAAGTCACTGACTTGGAAAGGCCCTTCCAAAAAACTGAGATGTGCCTTAGCAAATTATTTTTCACAGTTTCATTCTGTTGTAATTAATACAGACTTAGGTGGATTGTTGGACTATGTGGACCTCTTACCTCTTTGCAAATGTATATATATATTTTTTATTTATTAGATATTATACATAAATACATTGGTATTCATATTTATTACACATATATGTAAGTATAATGTATATTATACAATCCTTTTACATCAAATTAAAAGTTGCATTCAATAGAAAACTTCAAATATTTTTCTAGTTTTGTCATTGTGTTAGAACTGGGGTTGAACTCAGACCCTTATTTTCACTTCATTGGCCTGCTATCATTTGAGCCATACTTTTACCTCTGACTTTTTGCTAGTTACATGGAGATAAGAGTCTTGTGGACTTTTCTTCCCATGGCTAGCTGAGAACCATAATTCTCAAATCTCAGGCTTCTGAGTAACTAGAATTACAGGTGTAAGCCATCAGTGCACTTCAGTGATTTCAAATATCTTTCAACATATGCACTAAACTAATTAAAAAGAGAGAAAGTTCATGCATTAAAACCTAAATATTCTAATGGTTTGTATTTTATTCTAATTGCTTTGTAAATACCCAGGGCCTTACAGACACTATACAGTGGTTTACCATAGAGCTACATCTTCAGCTCAATATTTAAAAAGTTGCTCATTTATCTCTTTGCTCTACTATGTAGGAAGTTTAAAGAAAGAAGGGAGCTTGTCTTTGAAATCTGCTAAATATATGCTCTCCAATTTCATTACCATCACAACAGTATTTTTCCTTATTTTACAGATGTGGGAATAAAAGAAGGAAAGAAGGTTATATATCCACCCAAAGTTTTGTTACCATTGATTGGCAGAGATTAAATCCAAACTTAATTCAGTCCAAGTTTATGGTCCATTTATATTCAAAACTAAAATATACTATTTTCATCTAATGCATGCATCAGCAAACAATGTTTCTCCAGCCAAATCAAGTCTTAAGCATGATGTTATACAAGCCACAGGTTAAGAATTGCTCTTATATTTAAATCAGTGAAGAAACAGAAGAATAACATTTTGTGATACATCAACATACGAAGTTCAAATTCCAGTGTTTAGAATGTTAGCAGAACCAACACACATACCTGGTGACAAATTTTCTGTGGCTTCTTTTGGGCTGTATCAGCAGAGCTGAGAAGCTGGGCCCTGGCTGGTCCTAGAAAAGTTAGCTTACTCTTGATGTACAGTCTTTGTAATGGGTGCCTATGGATGGAACTCAGTGGATGGGTGCTAACTAAACATGTTTAAGGTTCTAGATTCACTTCCCAGTACAACAATGAATCCATATATCAATAACACCTCTGCAATAAAATAAAGTTCACTTGAGAGTATATATCCCCACATGAATGTGATACAAAAGTCATAACAAATAAGACTTTCTTTAAAAAATTCCAATTCCTGCATATAAAATACTAAATCATGGCTCAGTAGTAGAGCGCTTGCCTTGCATGCCTGAGGTCCTGGGTTCGATTCCTCAGCACCACATAAGCAAAAAGAAAAAAGCCGGAAGTGGCACTCTGGCTCAAGTGGTAGAGCACTAGCCTTGAGCTGAAGAGCTGAGGGACAGCACCCAGGCCCAGAGTTCAGGCCCCATGACCGGACCCAAAAAAAAAAAAATTCTTCAGCTAAAATACTAAATCAAAAAACAATTTAAAGAACAATACAACTGGATGCTGTTGGCTCACACCTATAATCCTAGCTACTCAGGAGGCTGAGATCTGAGGATCACAGTTCAAAGCTAGTCCAGGCATGAAAGTCTGTGAGACTCTTATCTCCAATCAAACACCAGAAAACTGGAAGTAGTGCTGTGGCTCAAGTGGTAGAAGTGCTTGCCTTGAAGTGAGGAGATCAGGGACAGCACCCAGGACCAGAGTTCAAGCCCCATAACCAACCACAAAAAAAAAAAAAAAGAATACTTTTTTTCCAGTCAACTGTGCAAATAAATGTACAAACATATGCTTACTATAAGAACGTCTTGATGTTCTCAGCTTTCAATTCATCCAAAAATGCCTTCCACATGCCATGAGGAGGAATAATGCTAGTAGCTTCATTGGAAGGTTTTATAAACCACCCTGTAACATACAACCAAACATAGGAATGAGATCTGAGCTCATAAACACCTCTCATTTTTCATTATTATATATAAAACCATATATAAAACACAGATGGCCAACTTTTGGCAGAAGTCAAGGCTTTCTGAAGTTTTATATTTCTTGCCTACTTTCACTGAAAAAGGATCATGCAAACAGATTTTTAAATTGCAAAGCAACTACAGTATATTTTTAGTGAAATTTCAATCATATGTGTTGTTGTTATCTTAAGAAATGGTCTATTAGGAAATTGGTTCCCAAATTAAACATGGCATTAATATTTCAATGAATGGAGATAAACAAGATGTTTTGGAAATGAAGGTTAAGGGTAGAGACTGTCTAGTTTCTTTCCACATCATTTTTCTCATTTGTCTCTGATTGTCTGTGACCCAAATAAGCATTTACAAATTTCAAAATATTAAAGAAAACTCAAGATTTAATTTTCTCAGATTCTGAAGCTATACAATTCTGCTGAGATTATCTATTTCCAATTTAAATAGGATTGAGTTCAGAAAGCTTCAGTAAAACTACAATGTATCCAACATCTCTGCAAGAAATCCAGAAGGAAATGGCCAGCCACATTGTTTAGAACCTTTAGAGTCTTCTAGTGACTTTACTCTGAGGGAGTAAGGACATGGGTAAAGGCTTACTTTTAGACAAATTATAGGATCTAGAGGGGGAAAAAAAGAATGTTACAAACTCAGCACCCAGACAGATTTCCTGAAGCTTTCCAGTTAGTGCTCACATATATACAAACACATATGCATATAGACATGCATATGAAAAAATACACAATTGGACACAAAGAATTGTCATTATACCTGTCCATAAAGCTAAAGGACTTAAACTATGGGATCAGGGAAGAACATACAGGTGATGAAATATTTGATTTGAGATAAAAAAAATGAACTTGAGGAAGAAGGAAAAAGACCTAGAGGTGATGGGGAGCAGAGATACCAAGACAAAAAGAAACAAACAGAGTAAAGAAGATTGAGCAGGGTGAATCCATGGAATCCCATTAACATTGATACCAAGAAGAAGGTTCTCTTTAGGACATACAGGAGATCCCCTTAACCTTGCCAAGTCCTAATTCTTAACTTTTACAATTGAAATCATAGAAATTCAATTTAAAATGAATCCTTATTAAGAACTCTTATAAGTCAAGCTGCACAATCTTTAACTGGTTACTAACATTTTAATTATGAGCATAATTTGGCTCAAAAGTCTCTCTCCCGGGGCTGGGAAGGTGGCTCAGTGGTAGAGCGCTTGCCTTGCATGCCTGAGGCCCTGGGTTCGATTCCTCAGCACCACATAAGCAAAAAGAAAAAAGCCGGAAGTGGCGCTGTGGCTCAAGTGATAGAGCGCTAGCCTTGGGCTGAAGAGCTGAGAGACAGGGCCCATGCCCAGAGTTCAGGCACCACGACTGGACCCCCCCACCCTAAAAAAAGGTGTTCTCTCTCTGTCTCTCTCTTCTTTTCCCGCTCCTTCCTTTTGGTAACATTCTCTGTTTTGAACTGAGGACCTGGGTATTGATGTCCATCAGCTCCTTCTGCTCAGTATGTACTCTACTACTTGAGCCACAGCTCCACTTCTGGCTTCTTGCCTGAAGACTCTGTGATCCTCCAATCTCAGCTTGAACAATAGCTAGAATTACAGGGGTGAGGGGCTAGCCCTCACTCCTCCACCCCCAAGGCTGAAAGTATTTTAAGACTCCAAGGATACAAAGCAAACTAGTGGATCTGAGGAAACCGAATTGATTTCCTCACCACACCCTGATATTCAAAATCACAGAGTTCAGAGTAAAGGTGATACCTGGTGATACCTTAGGCGGCTCTTTTGTATTCAAGACCAGTTAGAAGCATATCCTTATGTAGTTAGCAAAGCCCTCAGCATACATACAAGTTGGCTACTTCATTTTCTCACTTTATACCTGTCACTGTTTCTCATCATAGACAAAGGGGAAAAAGCTTCAGTCAAGTCTCTGGGAACTTTTTCAAGGTCTCTCAGAAGTGGTGTCAGAATCAAAACGAGAATGCTAGAGTCTGAGTTTGCCTGTGCTGCCCAAGTTTTCAGGTGAAGTTGGGTGAAATCTATAAATCATGAAACACCAGATACCTGTGAGAAGCGTGCTGATAACTAAAGCTCTATCCAAAGAGAGCTTTGCAGTAAGGCACCTGTTTCCCAAAGTGTCGGTAACAGAGGGATGTAAACACTCCCTTTGCAGGAATGTACAGAATTCCCTCAAACACCAGAAGCAGCACTAGGTGTAGCAAGATTAAAAAGAAAAATCCTAAACAGATTTAAGAGTCGCCTAAGGCCCTGCTCCCAGGCCGGCCTGAAGCAGCTCTGGGGGTTTGGCACCGCCCATAGGGGTGCAGGTTTCTCAGAGCTGCAGTCCGTGGTACTTCAGTTCGCTTTCCCTTAACTTGTGCCTTGCAAGCACTAGATCCAGAACTCACTCAGTCACGCCGCCAGCCTCAGCCTAAATCGCCCAACTCCTCCCGGCTTCACCCCTACCCCAATCGCCACCCACGTCCACTCCACTAACGTGGCCTAAGTCCCAGAATGACGAGAGGTCCCGAAGTTAAGTTTGGCAAGCTGCGCCTACCGAGGAGGAAGCCAAGGATGAAGAGGCTGGCGGCGGCTGCCAGCGCCCCAGCACACAACCAGCGCTGCCTGTGCCCGGCGACCCCCGCCGAGTCGGGGTCTTGAAGTGGGTTCCACATCTTCACGCGCGGGTCTCAGGCCTCCTACACATTCGCTGCTTCAGTCAACCCCACAGGAGCGTCCAACTGCCTGCAGCCCTGGCGGGGGGCAAAGTCTGCCTCCACCTCCTCCCCAGGCGCCGTGCACTCCGGGAGCGCAGCCTCAGTGTCTCCGCCCTCAAAGTGTTTCTGCCTTCCTCTGCACCAATCCAAGCGAGGGGAGGCAAAGTCAGCTTGGAGAGAAGGAAGTCTGGCCCCTTTCTCCTTCGGGACTCTAAAAACAAAACAAAACAAAACAGCAAACAAACAAAAACCCCTGCCCTTGAAAACTTTCAGCACTTTCTTGATAAAAACTAGTGAGAGCAGGAAAGGCTAGTAGCCTTTCCTATGGATTCCTCTAAACCAACAAATCCGACTCCTCCGTCTGCTTAGAAAAATATCTACCAAGCTTCTCTCACGAACTTTTTTTTCAGCTCTGAAATCCTCTAAAGTATTTTACAATACTCTGCGGCACGAATACAAGCAGAAGGAGGGAGAGGAAGGGGAGCGGTGTCGGCCCTTGTGAAGGGTCAGAGAAACTTGTCAGCACATCACCTTGTTGTTACTTATAAGCATTCAGGAAATTTATGCAATGAAACTGTTGTTATTTTTAGTGAATATTAATTATACAAAAGATTCACTGTAATATTTCTGTACCGGTACACACGTATAATGTACTTTGATCATATTTACTAGCCATACCCCTGTTTTTTTAAACGGCCTAACAAATTTTCAAACGGATTTCAACCTGTCCTTTTTATGTGCACACAAGGTATTTTGATCATATGCTTCCTCTGCCAGTTCCTTTGGCCCTCTCAGGCCTTGTTCTTGTTCTTGTCCCCACCACTGAAGGCCTCCTTTCAAGTGTGTGTGCTGTTTTGTGGTTTTGTTTCTGTTCTTTTCTTAGCTTTAGAGTTGTGTGCATGAGAGGGAAAATCATGGTATTTATTTTTATGAATCTAGATTATTTTCCTTAAAATGATATTTTCTTGAAAATGATATGATATTTTTTTCTTTTTGGATAAGTCACACCATCTGATTCCATAGTTTTACTATGTGAATAGTGCTGTTCTAAACATGGGTGTAAAGGTGTCTCCATTGTGTGTTGACTTATACATGGTATAGCAGGGCTATAGGGTAGTTCTAACTTTCCTTTCTTGAAGGATCTTGGTAGTAACTTCCATAATGACTGCACTAGTTTACATTCCCACCAGCAATGTATAATGGCTCTCCTAACACACACAAATACACACACACACACACACACACACACACACACACACACACAGACATACCAGCATCCTGGCCAGCACTTGGTTTTTGTTTTTTTTTTTTGGGGGGGGGGGGGGCCGGGTCGTGGGGCCTGAACTCTGGGCCTGGGCGCTGTCCCTCAGCTCTTCAGCTCAAGGCTAGCGCTCTACCACTTGAGCCACAGCGCCACTTCCGGCTTTTTTCTTTTTGCTTATGTGGTGCTGAGGAATTGAACCCAGGGCCTCATGCATGCAAGGCAAGTGCTCTACCACTGAGCTACCTTCCCAGCCCCTAGATTTTTTTTTTCCAGCACTTGTTTTTGATAAAACTTTTTAAAAGGAATAATATTGAAAATTCTTGGAAGCAGAGGTTTCACTTTTATCTCATCTGTGTTTGGCCAAATTTTCCATAATTGATAATGAAATAAGGATACTGGGTCTAATTAACATCTCCTTGCTCTCACAGCCATCCTGGTGCCTTATTGGGTTGGGTAGAGGGGGCTTTTCACCTAGCTTGGAGAAGCCTAGAGGTAAGACAAATCTCTTCTTTGAATTATAGATGTCAGGTTGTTTGGCTGCAAGAAAGCTTTGCTGCAGAAGATGCTTGCCCTTGAGTATTTCCCTATTTGGCTTGTTTTGCTTGCTTTTAAGAATTTCCCTATATGGCCTGTTGGGCTTGGATCCCCACCTCAAACATGTGGTTGTCTTTAAAACTTTGTTCAAGTTTGATTCTGGGCTTTGAGACTGGAGTCTACCTGCAGTTGCAGGCTCTCCAATAAACACTCTCAATTGACCTTTCAAGATGTGGCTTCTCTATTTCTTGTGACTGAATTCCCATAAACAATAAGAAATCAATCTTTATTGAATAATCAACCGCACACAATTCTGTCCCCATTGTGAACATTTAATAATAGTGATATCTAAAAGAAGTGAATAATGATACACTTCATAAAATCCTTTGTATTTGACAAGCACTAGTAGCTTACTCCTGTAATCCTAGCTACTCAGGAAGCTGAGATCTGAGAATGGCAGTTCAAAGCCAGTCTGGGCAGGAAAGTCTGTGAAACTCTTTTTTTTTTTTGTCGGCCATGGGGCTTGAAGTCTGGGCTTGGGCACTGTCCTTGTGCTCTTCAGCTCAAGGTTAGCGCTCTTCCGCTTGAGCCACAGCACCACTTCCGGTTTTCTACTGGTTTATTGGAGATAAGAGTCTCACAAACTTTCCTCCTTGGGCTGGCTTTGGACCGCGATCCTCAGATCTCAGCCTCCTGAGTAGCTAGGGTTACAGGCATGTGCCACCGGCGCCTGGATAGTCTGTGAAACTCTGATCTCCAGTTAACCACCAGAAAACCAGAAGTAGAGCTGTGGATCAAGTGTTAGAGCACTCACCTTGAGCTGAAGAGCTCAGGGACAGCACCCAGGCCCAGAGTTCAAGCTCCACAACCAACCAAAAAACAAAAATCACTTGTATTCGTAGTACAACCTATAGAGGGAACCAGAAATGATAAAGAGAGCCCTATGAAAGTGTTGCACATAATAGAATCCTAAAGTACAGGTTGAAGCAGTGGGCAAATACAGGAAAATTAATTTATCAATAATGAACCAAGTCGGGGCTGGGAGGTGGCTCAGTGGTAGAGCGCTTGCCTTGCATGCCTGAGGCCCTGGGTTCGATTCCTCAGCACCACATAAGCAAAAAGAAAAAAGCTGAAAGTGGCACTGTGGCTCAAGTGGTAGAGCCCTAGCCTTGAGCTGAAGAGCTGAGGGACAGCGCCCAGGCCCAGAGTTCAGGCCCCACAACTGGACCCAAAAATAAAAAATAAATAATAATGAACCAAGTCAATTGGCTGAAGGAAAAGGGGCCAGTTCCTAATTCCTTTCTAGTAAAATCTTCTATTTCCAAATATTCTTAGTTTCAAATCAAACTAGCAAATGACAAAGGGATAATAGGTATATTTGCTGAGCACTTGCTATGTTTAATTCCCTCTATCTACATATTCTCATGTATTCATCATAAGATCCCTACTCCCATTCTTTTTGTTTTAGATAACCTGAAATGCACTGAGACTAAGTGAATCTTCCCAAGTAATGTTGTATGGGACCTCAGTTGCAACAAAACAAAGAAGCCACGTTTTAAGAGGTCAAATTGGGAATCTTTGTTGGAAAGCTGGCAGCTGCAGGTGGATTCTTGTCTCAAAGTCCTGCAGCCCAGAACATAAAGCTTTTAAAGACAGAAGCCACATGTTGGGGTGGAGACCAAGCCTGAACAAAAGTGTTATACGTAAAACAAAGCAAGCTAGATGAGGATACTTATTCCTAATAAAAGTGTCATACATAGGCAGTACAAACTGTCCAGGGGAAAAATAAAGGGCCATCAGGACCCAATTATCTAGGGGAAGAATGAGCTTTCTGAAGCCCAACAACTCAGGACAAAGTTGAAATCCAAAGAATGTCCTTTATACCCTCTAGAGTTCTCAGAAAGTCCCCATCTTCTATTAACTTCTATCAAGATGCCAAGATGGCATTACTTAGATCCAGTATTCATGTTTCAGTAATAAAGCTAAGTATTAAAGCTAATGAGTGCAATGTCTGTCTCAATCCCCTTTTACCACACAACCTTTACTGAGCTCAGGGTATACACTCTAAAGACTTGTGCTTAGAGATAGAAGACATGGGCTTAGACTTTACATGTGCTTGGGTGTAAAAAATTCAATTTGGAGTCAGGCAATGGTGGTTCATGTCTGTTATCCTAGTTAGTCAGGAAGCTAAGATCTGTGGTTCAAAGCCAGCCCAAGGCAGCAAAATACATGAGCTATTATCTCTAATTAACCCCCAGAAAACCAAAAGTGGAGGTGTGGCTCAAAGTGGTAGAGCATGAATGTGAAGGAGATCTGGCTGTGATGTCTGTCACTCCATTGATCACCAGCATTGATTTGACTGAGCTGGCTGGTTAGGCAGGTGTTCCCCTCTTCCCTCACCACTCCATGTGCATTCCTCCCAAGGCTGTGTACCTCTCCCAAAGCTGTGGGTTTGGCCAACGAGGACAACCATCCCTGATAAAGGAGGACCCATCTTCTGTCAAGGGTATGTGAATAACTGAGCTCCCCTGCTAGAACCTCCAAACAAGCTCCCAAAGTTGTATAATGCCACCCTTAAGCAAAAGAACTCAAGGTCCTGAGTTTAAGCCCCGCATCCAACAACAACAACAAAAAAATCGATTTGGAAATCCCTGTGGCAATGTCCAGGCAACAAGGTTAACATAGATACCTCAAAGGCCAGATTGTGACCATAAATGAGGCAAATGCCACTCAAATACAGGAAAGAAATTTTGACCATAATTAGAACTACCTAATAGAATCAGCCTTCCTTGTCTAAGGGAGAGCCAATTGAATCCAAGAGTGTGGGTTCAACCAACTTTAGATTTAAAAAAAAAATAGAAAAAATGAGTCTCTACTACAAATGTTCATACATTTCTCTTGACATTATTCCCCAAACAATTCAGTGTAATAAGTAATTATATAGCATTCTCATTGTTTTCAGTATTACTAGTAATGTAGACACGATTAAAAGCTACAAAATGGTATGTCTACATTTATGCAAATACTACATCATGGGCTAGAGCATTGCTAATTTTCGGTATATACAAGTAGTCTTAGGACTAAATTATAAGCACTTTATATGTGGTAGATACTATGTTATGTGCTTTATATTGTGCACACACACACATAACTTGATTGAGTAATTTATTTTACTTGTTGTGTTATTACAGAGGCTTCAACTCAGGGTCATATGGACTCCCTTAACTTTTTTTGCACAGCACTATGCTCTACCACT